TGAAAGAAAATTGTAATTCAGTGAAAATTTCATTTTTGTTGTCATTGCTTTTTTCACCTTTTTCAATTTAATTCCTCTTTGAAATAGAACTTTTAATATTTCGAGCAATAAATGAGCAACAGATAGATGCTACTCGGGCATATGAGATATGGTATTGAAGTGATCGGTGACATTATTAATGATAAGATGCTCTATTAAAAAGGGGACAAGATTTCAAACAATTGAAAATTGCACAACGATCATTGTTGAACAGAAGTAGGAAAGAGTAGTATAAGTGGCATTTTAATGGTATTAAATTCCTTATTTTATCAATTATTGCTATAACTAATTTAATAACTGTAAGATATTAAATTTGGAGAGTTCTTCGGCTGACAATATCAATGGAAGGAAGCGTTCGATTTTATATTTCTTTCGTTTATAATATTTCATTCATTCCTTTATTTCTCTTAAATTTCAATTTCATTTATTCCAAATATCATTTTATGCTTATGAGCATTTTCGTTTTTTTCCCTTTCATTACCATCATTTTTTTAACTTTCACCTTCACCTTCATGGACAACCGTAATTTGTTTTACAAGTTGAAAACCAATTTTTGCAGAATCTCGTTCTTTCTCTCTCTCTCTCTCTCTCTCTCTCTATTGTGTATGAGAGAGAGAGAGGGAAAAAGAGAAAAAGGGATAGGAAGAAAAGTTAACTTCTTATACCCGTCAATCAAACGTATAACTATAAACAAACGGTGTGTTGATTCAATATATGATGTTAGTTTTACCTTTTTGCCTATACTAAGTTATATATTTGTACTTCCGCCTATTTACTTTTCATCATCAAAGATGAACTCACTTATACCGAAAATCACTAAATGCTAGGCGAAAGACAGATTGATTGAGAGATCTCTTTATTGATCTTCCCGTCGCACACATTTCATGATTTCAACCTTTCAGAGAGAATTATTTTCCATAGTAATAGATGCTTGTATCAATTTAAACTTGTTAGCGCTTTAATTTTCAGCTCAGTTCTTCATTAATTTCAATTATATTCATCAATTACGAATCATCATATATAGTTAACAGTAATAACGTTGATGATGACAATAATAATAATAATATTATTATTTTCATTATTATTGCCATTCTTATGATTATACATACGTCTCGTTTTCTCAATTAATGATTGTTACACAATTCAAGCCATATCGGATGGTTCCAAGAAGATGGGGTGGAATGAATTTGCCAATAAAACAGCCTATGCATTCTTCAACTTGCCTGATAATTTATCGTTTCATTGAAAATGAATGCTCTGATAAGAGGAGAAGTTGGGTGAAAAATGTCAAAACGCATATTTCTTTTCATTCCAATGATTAGTACTGCTACAAATGCAGTCCACTAATACACAAATTTTATAAATAGTTCAACAAAGTATTTTTATTTCATTTCCACACCAATTTTCGACCAATTCATGCCACCGCAAATCTTATCATTGATCAGCATATCATGTAATAAACACAATGATTATTATTTTGAAAGATTTCCAGTTTATCGAATTATTAATTCGAGATCCACACGTAAAAGTATAGGTGTAGTAGGAAATAATCTAAATGCAGATACTTGAGACAGTATTGTCTGACTGATCTTCAAAATAAATTGAGATTCGTAAATTATTAAAGAGAAAAATACAAGTATTGGAACGGCAGATCGATTTAGCTAGTTTTATTGGATTTAACTGCTTAATTAATTCAAGTAATAACAAGTAGCTCGTTCATTTGATCAACTGATTTCATTTTCTGTCGCGGGCATGAATTTAAGAAGTAATGGTGAAATGGGATTGATAAAACCATACAGCATATACATTTTGGCTGAGCAAGAATGTATATATCGAACTTTAATTATTTTGTTATCTTGGAAACGATGAAGATTCTATTTGAGAAATCCACATTGACAAAAATTAACATTATTTAAAAAAAATTTTCATTCTTTATCTTAGTTCCATCAACGGAGAATAATTTTCTAGTGATCTATAAAATTATGAGGGAGTGAAATAATATAACGCATGATTAAGGTTAGAAGAGATAAGGTCGGAAAAAGAAGAAATACTATTTCATCAGCTTCAACAATTTCAATAAACTGTAAACAACGATAGTTATCCTTTAATTGCGGATGTATAAATCATAATAGTTTCGATGTTGTAGGAAGGAAACATTTAATTAATTTCTTAACCATGAAATTTAATTTCAACACTGCAAAAGAAGGCAAGATAAGGTTGAATTGATATTCGAAGAAAGCACTACCTACATACACAGTTAATTATATCATAATAGAACAAAGATCAATACTTCTGAAATATCTTACAAAATTCTAAACAGTGAAGAAATAATACTTGATATTGAGCACTTTGTATAACAGCCTAATTTACAAATAGTAAGCCATATAGTTTAGTTTTGTGTAAAAATGCGGACAGCCAATCATGCAGGCTTTCAACGAAATGGAAAAAAATCTTCTGAATGCGTTTCACATGACCGATAATGTTTCAAGTTTGAAATTGATCGAATTTTCAAAGTAATCTGGCCTTGTCAACTATTGCATAAACAAGACGAAGCATAATAAAATCAGTAGAACGATTGCGTCAGAGATTTCAAATGCATCAGCAATCGTTGAATTGACGGATTATCCTGTTACATTACTCTTGGTCTAACATATTTATTCATTCGAAAAGATTAGAGGTCACATCTCCAGTAAAATGGTCGTAAAAAAGATAAATATTACGGAGGAATCAAATGAATTTTCCAATGGAAAAGACAACAATCTTAGAATTATGTCGAGAACAAACAAAAACTGATCATCCCAGAAGGCCATTTACGAATCATTTCACCTAACAGCAAGCTGAATTCATATCTAATTATGTAGGATAATAATTTGCTTCCCTAATTATGCATTCAGCTCTCGACCTTTAACTTTCGCTTATAAGAGCAATAAGATTTCCATGCAAAATGTACAGCAGGAGTAATTCACTCATTATTGCACTAAAGGAACATCAAGATATTTTTAGCAATTAAAGGATGGTGAAATTTCAAGCTTGAAGAAAGGTCGAAAATTCCCATGTTATTTAAGAATATACAAAATTTTCGGAATCAAGTAAATTTTACCACTTGAAGAAGAAATTCACTACCATTTATCTTTAATTCGATCAATATGCAAATTTGTTAAATTAAGAGCAGAGTTGTTCGTTCAGTAAATATGCAAATTCTGTTAAAATTTGCGAAAAAGCTTTCAGAAAACTATCTCTTCTCAGTTTTGCATAATTCCAAGTCATCAGTGCATATTTAAGGTAATTTCAATTTCCAAAATTGTCCTCTCTTGACCTTTGTGACATATATGGTCGACATGTATTATCAGAAACCGGAAACGCCACATTCGAGATGCTTGAAAATTTTTTCTTTTTTTTTTTAATGTCATTATTATCGTCTTCATTAATTCAAGATTATATAGGCTGGTACAAAATATATGTCATGAATAAGTACTTCCGGAATTACTTAAATAACTTATACAATTTGAACACGTCAAAGAATGACCTGAACGGGTATCCGAAGCATCGATCTCTTCCAGTGATGGCTATGTGCAGAGAGAATTAATTGTTTAAGAAATATTTATCTAAACATTTAGGAGTATATCACGCGGTATATTATCTTATCCTCTCGCATCTTTTACCATTAATTTCTAATTTTCGCTGATGACTTAGTCCGCGACTAATATTTGTGCAAATTGTGGACAATATTTTAACACCAATACATTTAGCCCGCCACAGGTAATTCTGAGGTGCATTTTTTTCCAAATCACCAAAAAGAACTCGCTACATTAAGGCCATAATCGGAAGTTTGGAGGCAAAAGGATGTTAACAATTGTTTAGCACAATCGCAACGCTTTTATGATATGATTTTCGAAGGAGCAAATGAAAATTCAGAAATTATTGGAAGGGAGGAAAGAAATTAATACCTCTAGCAAAATAAGTGCAGAAATCCTCGAAGATCCCAGGAAATAATGGACTTTCCCAACAATATTTAAATTTACAATGAGGACAGTTGACATATCCAATCTTCCATATTACATGCACTTTTTTGTCGGCAAATCAAATTTCGCGAGAAGCACTCGACGCTAATAGTGTGAATTGAACACGAATTAAGCTAAGGATCGAAGGCCAGATCTACATTGTCCATTTTTGCAACGATCATTTTAAGCAGCAAATTTCATAAATTATATCAAAACTATGCTACGGATATTTATTTAGTAAGTCAATTATAAGCCAACAATATGTCAAAAATTTACAATCAGTCAAACTCTCGCAATGTTGCCATCAACCAAGAATGAAATTACCCGAGATTTCTCAAAAAACAAAAAAATTCGTACATATCTTAGGCACTATTTCGCGTCCATCCAGTTCAACAACAATGAAAATTGTTTACAGAACGCGCGCGGAGTAATAAGGCGCGCGTGCTGCGTCGCGTGTGCTCTCATTATCGTTATAAAAGGAGCGTTTGAAGCGGTCTATGCAATCAGTGTTGGAGCTGTAGTCGGCAGCGGCAACGTTCTTTGGCGCACAAACTCATATACACGCGTACACTAACACATACACACACGCGCCATATACACGTCAGTGCATACGCTCTTTACGCTTACGTACGAGTGTGTGCATAAAGTCCACACACATACAGATAGACGCACATAGACATACACGCATAGCTAGGCAGACACGTAAATTCGGACACACGCTCGTGACATACAGCAGCAGCAAGAGGAAGAGGTGGTGTGTTGTTGCAGTTAGTAACATACTGAGAACTTTGGATTAGTGCAAGCCTATCTACTTTTGACCTTCGTTGGCAGAACTTTACACACAGCAACTGTCTCTATTTTGACATTAAATCCAGGAAACTAGGTGTGTGACCTATAATTCGGAAGCCCGTTTTGTGCTGGGGACATTGGTACGGGTTATTTTAAGTGACAACGATCACGATGACTGCAACTGTCGTAGACCATCCCGATAAGCAACATCAGCAACAAGATCAAGAGCACACTTCGAAGCAGCATTTATCACAGCAACTTCAACGAGAGCATGATATTGTTGTTACATCGATGGGAGGTACCGATGACGAAGTTGCTGTTGCAGTTTCGCGTGACATTTCCGTCGATGAAAGCCATCAAGCTATCGCGGAACAAGATTCAACGAAAAAGCAATATCATTCTGGAAGAATTCCGGACATCCGGATTCTTTCGGCAAATGCTTCAAATACAAAAACGAAGAAATCCCGCAGAAGGTTTGCAATTTAGTTTTGTTTCATTCTGTAACGTTTCCGAATGTTCTTTCTCTCAGAGAGATGAAATTTCGCGGATAGACCTGAATCTGGTCCTTTTTTCTTTATTTATTCGTCCTTTTATCGTTTTGCTTCCCCTTTTTTTTACACTGATACTATTGAAATTATAGAATCTTTCTTGCATTTGTAGGAATTTGATGGCAACTGAAGGGAAAACAAATAATAGTTTAGATAGCGAATAATTGAATGTAATGAGCATACGAAAATTTGAATTCTGAGAATTCAGATTTTGTCAATTCAGCTATTAGTTTTATTATTAGTTTAAGGATTTGGGCATGTTGTCCCATTTCAAGCATTTTAAAGCATTTCACTTCTGAATACCCTTCGAAATATTAAGAATTGGTTTATAAGGGATAATATTCTAAAGCCATTATAAAAATAGAGTTTTTTGATTTTTGATGTTGTTTTTTTTTAACAGGTGCGAAGAGTTCATTATGCATTTTTTTCTTTCAGCCTCTTATCATAATTCATTAATAAAATAGGATAAAGTTATAGGAGGGGTGGAAAAGGACGCTGGAAACCATATCACACATTATCACTAAAGGAAAAAATTGCTCAAGAAGAGAAAGAAGTACGAAATGCAGTAGAAAAGCGTGAAAGGTTAGTTGCAGTGAAATTTTTTGTTTATTAGACAAGAAGTAAGTGGGGAGAAGGACTGAGAATTCCGAGAAACTTTCATAAGTTTTTTCCGTTTATTGCAATAGTTCAGCTGTCGTCATAGATCAGTGTTTGATTACTGTCCAAGTTTAGTTGAACCATTAATGATAAATTCTGGCTTAGCTGCAGTTAAATCCATTCTGTAAGCCTTTCGGAATTGCCGGCTTAAAATAGTTGAAAAAAAGCAGTCTGAACGTGGTTATATCGGCATTTTAAATTTATATGAATATGTATATTCACATATTTCATGGAAGGTCGAGACTTAATATTCATATCCAAACTTTTCCTGAATAATTTTCAGAATTTTTTTGAAAAATTTTTTTTCATTTACCACGGTAGTCATCTTTAACTAGTGTCGGATCAACTGTTCATGGAAATGCTGCATATATTATATTATGGAATTGATATTCATTTACATTTCAAATGTTTGAGTCTTACTTCTTAAAATATAATGACCAGCGATTAAGGTACGAGGAAACTGAATTATAAATTTTATTAGGTTACTGTAGAGCAGTAGGACATAAGAAAGTAAAGTAGTTTCCAGAATAAGAAGCGAATAATAACCAGATTGGTGAAGTTACAGGTACCATGAAAATAGAACTTTAATTCCAATTACACATGACACAATCGGATATAAAGTGAACTAGGTTGTTATGAAGCAGATGTTTCTAAGATTTTGTGTAAATATATTCAGCTACTTTCTGGAACAGATGAGATTACCTGGTTTGTACTCTTCCAGGACGGCATGTGGTGTGACAGACAAGAACAGGATTCGTGATATTCCGAGAATTTACCTAAGACGTTTTTTAAAGCATTTGTTGACTAATCAGTGAATGAATCAGAAAAAAGAGTTCAAAGATTGAATTCAAAGCCGAATTAATATTGAAATTATAACTGACTTCTTTTTTAAGATTATTTTCACGCGGCAAACCTATGGCACCGTACAATACAACGCAGTTTCTGCTGGAAGATCACGAGAAGCGTACAATGCCTCCAGATGTCGGCGATTCATCTGGAATGGCTGCACATCAACGGCAGTCCACAGGAGGATTTTCACCAACTCGTGAAAGGTTTATATTATTTTCGTTGCTATTATTAATTGCGAATAAATTTTCCAGTTCTAAATCTTTTTATATTGTGCGCTCCAGTACTCTTCAGTGTAGCGGCATTATAAAACTTCATATGTTTGTATTGTTAGTTTTTAACTCTTACTGATGTTTGGCATAACTATAGTTATGCCTTTACATATCATTTGCCAAAAGAATCAGAAGATTCGGTTCGGTTCTGGTACCGTATGCATTGGTCACTAGTGAAGATGTAATATTTTTCGAAGAACCCCAATAAGAAATATTTGTGCTTCATTGCTATGATATTTGGTTTAGCTCATTTTTTATTTGATTTAGGATTTAATAGCAGTCTTTCACTCATCTGTAAGTTCAAGCGCACCAGTAACTGCTTTTCTAAAGAAAGGGAATAATGTTGTGTGACATCACACACGAAGTAATATCACGTATTAATAGTGTCGGTGATATAATTGAATATAAGTGAATAAAATCTTTTCTTCGAAAAAATTAAACCAGTTCCGAATTTTTCTAGACGTTGTTTGCAATTATGCTAAAAAAAAATGTGATGAGCGTATTGCGACAACAACGTACATTCACATACATACGCGCATGTGCTACGCCCCGTTTTCGGTCGACTCTGAAAATCTCCAAAGGCGAGCAGATTTTCATACAGTCGATTTGGCGAGTCATTCAGTTCCTGAGCATCGCATGCTTGTATTTAAAAGTTGCCGAAATATAATAGCTGCTGGAAATTATAGTGCTGGTAACGAAGCTAGCCGAATGTTCCTTCAGTTCAGTACTGGGATGGAGCTTTGCTTATTATGATGCGCTTGGGATAGACATTTTCAGAATGACACTGGTGTACATTTTTATCATAGAAAAATCTGGTTAAAAGTAGGAGAGTTTTGAGTGGTACGTGGAATCATCGAAGCTAGGTGAGGTAGTGACGAAAAGGGTCTTCTCTGTTGAAAAGGATAGGTTAAGGCCTAATCCCTTCTCCCCTTAAATTCATTCTGGTGAGAATTTGTTTGTCCGAGTTTGAACCGACGTTCTATTTGTATATAGTAAGAGCTAATTTATATGATCATAATATTCATAGGTTTCAAGAAAATATTCGAAAAGATAAAGCTGATGCATGCGTATTTTTACCTTTAATATTTCATCAGTGAAAATGTTCTCTTATAGATTTGGTACGATTGGTCAGTCAGGGTCTGAAATGGGTGGTAATACAACAGACAGTGCGAGTTATTCAGGTGCAGAAGATGATGAAATGGAGCGACAGTTTGATGCTGATTATGATTATGTCAACATGGAGCGCATCAGTAATATGACCAAAGATGAAGTACTTTTTTTGTTTCGTAACTCGTGTTAGTAGTGGTATTATTCAAGATTAGACGAAGAATGAAGATATTTCGGAAGACTAAATTTCTTTTTATTCTTTAGTGCATTTCAAGGTGCTGAGAGATCCTTCTGTCTCTTTCTGCTTTGAACTTTTGGTAAAACTAGAATAGTAGAACAGTAAAAAATATAAGCCAGTGACAAGACGAAAATTTTAAGTAAAGTGAGAAATATTTTTTGCAAAAATTGGGATGGTAATGAGATTGGGAGTTGTACTAGTGTAGGAGTTCAAACTTCGAAAGAAACAAGAATTCATTAGTTTAGACCAATTCGAGTAATGGCAAAAATGTGCATTGATTCCAGGTTGTACGAGAATACATGCATTTAGAGAAGATTAATGGTAAGCTGGCGGATCGCATGAGTTTGTTGCAGTTAGAAAATGATAAATTGAAGCAGCTGTTAAAGGACCATAATATTTCTTACGAAAATGTATTACCCAAAATACGACGCCATAGTGGCGCATCGGTTTCGGAAGCGAGTGATGTGGTACGAAAAAGCCTGGATGAAGTAATGGTTGAAAGTGGGCAGTAACTGGTAGAGCAAACCGGTTTTTCTCATCGACAAACTAATTTTGATTGTAATTTGTAATTGTGGTCAGTGTTGTACTTGTATTTTTCCATAGGGTATTTGATGGCTCACTGTTATGTGATGGGTAAAAGAAGTTCAGCAATTGTCAAAAAAAATTTTTTTCATGATTAGTTCATTAGTTTACACCAATAATTTCATTATCTCTGCAGCTCCACTGGCTAATCTGTTGTAATGATTGTTTACTGGGTTGTTTAATATGCTGTATGTTTATGTATTTATATTTTCTAGCATGTACATTATTAATTTCTACGGGAATGCTCCATTCAGTTGGTTCATTTGGTACAGTTTTTGTTGATTCTTCGAAAACGATTGTAGTATGGAAAAATTAAATTTCAAACTTTCGAAAGAAAAAGTCTGAATTAAGTTCAAAGATATTTTTTCTTTTGAGGTTGAACTTGAAACTAAAACACAGCTGTGGAAAATAACTTCCCAAGACAATGTGAATATATTTGTCACAGAAGAGCTGAAACTGAATCTGATTCTGCATAATTTTGAAATTTACTTTTTTGGATGTCTAAATTATGCACACATGTTCTTCGTGTGCTTATATTTATTTAGTGTTGCCTTTTTCTTTTGTTTACTAATTTCATCGGTTCCTTCTATTGTAGACTTTCATAGAAAGATGAACAATCCGGGTACATCAAAAAGTTGCATGTGCTTATTTTGTTTTGTATTCTACCGGTGTTAACATTGATCGTGTTTGAGACCTCGAAAAATCTATGATTCAAACTAGAATATCAGCTAGAAGGACCGGAAGCTTGCGATAGTCTAAAAACTTTTTTGAGGTTGTTAGAAAAACGGGGTTTATAAGTTATGAACTAATGAAGTTCTATTACTTTCTACGAACTAATCAGTGGTTGTCGATGTGAATAGGAAATCAAAGCTTGTTTGATTAACTAATCAAGTAATCGTTCGGTACTAATTTTCTGGCTTTTCGATGCAAAAAAAAGAAAAATGCAATAGTTGCAACATTTTCTTTGCAATTTGGTGAGATGCTGATTTTTCTCTTCCGCATTTTCCGCAACATTTGACAATTCCCCTTGAAAATTCCATATTTCTAGGGCTTTCTGCTTTACCATCATCATATCCTTCCAGCACTTTAATTTGCAATCTATTTGATTATTCCATTCAGTCTTTAATGTTACCAATGCTCAGTGGACCTCCATCATTTGCTGATTTTTTAGCGTTATTTTTTACCAATTTTCTTTAATCTTTAATTAATTACAATGATTTAGGTATAACTTCAGAAATATTTGCGACCGTTTAGAAAATGAGAACGGCCCAACAGTTTTATCACTTGTTTGCGTTTGGTCAAGTCTGTATGTGCTATCCTATTGTAGAGTTGGCTGTAATACTTAATGAATTTGACTGTAATGCTTAATCATATCTCTTGCACAGGAGAAAGGTGAAGAATAGTTTGGAGCAGGAAATAATGGTACTAGTATTCCGATTAAAATATCGATTTTTCGCTCTTATAAATATTGAAGGGTTTCCATTTCCATCTATGGTTTGGAAAATTTAAGTCGGCGGTTATCTAACCTTATATTATTCCTGTTTAAAATTATATTTGCCTTTCTTCCTAACTGAGCATGTTGTTTGTTTAGAAATTTTTGCTCTGTAACAGATACTGGTATGGAATTTGAAATAATCGTCAAATAGAATTGTATTTTCTCTGTAGATTTTTTGGCTTTGTTTTTTTTAACATTCCTTGATGTCATTCGTCGAAACTGATCGATCATTCAACCTCTTTTTGTGAATAGAATGGTTTTTATTTCATTAAAATTCAGCTATATATGTCGCGGTTTATTTTTTTGTTTTGGAGTAAAATTTTCATCTAAAGGAAGCATAAAATCTCATTGTTTCCAACAAATTCTCAAACTTCAGGGGATTTTTAGCTGCGGAATTCGAAATGCAATTTTTAAGCTAGTTTAGCTAACTAAAAACTAGCTTTACCTTTACGTTAAATATCATCATAAATTACTGCTCGGCTGACATTGGTGTCGTTGTTGTAAAGCATTTTCTGCGATATCGGTGTGTTATCATTAGTTTTTAATAATTCATTGTAACAAAAGAAAATCTGTGGAATCAACGTTTTATCGAGGTATCTAGGAAATTGGTGATGGTCCGTGCTCATCTCATCTATAAAATAGTTTTGAGAGCAGCTATAGAAATATAGGACTAATTTCTGTCAGCTTTCAATTGCTACATACTTACATCGTTTACATACCACTCCTAAACATTTCAAACATTGGCAGAAACGTAGTTTTTGAATGGAATGATGTGATTTTAAGGAGCACATTTTGAATTGCTCGTTTTCGAACCATGTGCTTTCCATTCTTCCATTGCGCACTGTCATCGTTATCGTTCGATTGCAAATGAATGATTCGTCTCACCTCAATGTCACTGTTACGTCTTTCCACTTCATACCCTGCTGATGTTGATGAACCTTTTTCTATCGGTACTTCTTCAATATCTTACATATTTAACATATGTTACGGTTGCCGACGAAACTAATATTCCCGAATTTACCGCTGAAAAGGTATCAGAAAAAGAAGGATTGACGGTTTTGAATGAAGATGAATTGGAAAACAATGAAGCAGTACTGAAAAAATGTCCACATGTTGATCCATATTTGGAGTAAGTTTCAGTATATTCTTAAACTTTTAAAATCCTTGCGTCTTTTATTTCTAAGCTTTTTTTTTGCTTCACTTTTAACAATGATCTGATTATTTTTCCTGAATTTTACACTATAATCTCATTTGTTCCGTTGTAATTTTTTGTTGCATTTTGTTGGTTTTTTAAAACATAATTGAAAAATGAAATATCGGGCATCCATTGCTTCCTCTGAGATCCAATTTTTTTACTTTTATTTAGGCAGATATATCTTATCGTAGAGATATCATAGTAAAGTAAAGTAATGATATCAAGGACATGTAATATGATTCAACAATTCCAGCGTAATCACTTGGTCAACAGTTGATCCTAATGTTAGCAATTGTGATCCATTTACACCAAGGAAAAGTCATATGATAGTAAGTGAGGCAGAAAGGAAACGATACGAATGGGGTACCAAGAAATTTGCTTATGACATATTGACAAGTGATAAAATAGGACCACGCCGTAAATTATCACCCGTTTATCACGAACTGTAAGAAATACTAGATTTTCAAGCTTTTTGTAATATCTCATCATTTTCAATAGGATTTCTCGAATTTTTACAGTCTAATATCCGAATTCTTAAAATAGTGCTGTAACTGCCGTGATACATAACCTTTATTCAAGATTAATCCAATTTGTCATTCATTAATTATCCACTGCTTAAATTATTGTATGATATTAATTTCTGGAACTGACTACCATTTTTTCCAGTTGCAGATTATAATTGGTGTAAGTTCTACTGAAAAGCTCATAATGTCAGTTAGGGTCAAAAAGTTTCATTCAAAACTTGCCTTTACAGTGATATTTAGAATTTTTCCTTTTTCAGGTGTGAATCACTGCCTCGTAATATCAGTTTGAGTGTAAGCATAGTCATTATTTATCACAATGAAGCATTGTCAGTATTAATTCGTATGCTAAATAGTATTTTCGACCATACTCCACGCAAGCTTCTTAAAGAAATTATATTATACGATGACTGTAGTGATTATGATACATTGCTTACTAATCACGTTATTAGTTACGGTAATCATGCACAGTGGCCAATGAAAAAGATAATCATGCGACGAAGTGATGAGCGACTAGGACTTATCAAGTCCAAGGTTAATCTTTTTTTAAATGAATATTTGGAATTCCTACCGAAAATATATTTAATTTAAAAAGGGAAATCGAACTAATTTTCGGAATACATTTGTTTCGAATTTAAACAGACTCTGACTTGTACAGACTCTAAATGAAGTCGTAAGCAATAGTCTTTTTTTCTTTTGTGATAACAATTTTTTTTCTTTTCAGGTCTATGCATCACGTGTGGCTCGTGGTGATGTCCTTATATTTTTGGACAGTCATTGCGAAGTAACTCCGTTATGGATCGAACCTTTACTGCTACCAATTCAGGAAGATTCCACAAGGTTGAGAGTGAAATATGCATTGTCATTGCTTATTTGTTATTTTATATTGGTTTGATACGCGAGAATTCGTAGGCTAGAAGAAAATGAATATTAAGTTTATTTAAGGAATTTTAAGTTTTGTCTTACAAGTCATTGCATCTTTCTTTTGCTTTACGCTATAGATTTCGGTTCTTTTTTTTCAGTTAAAGCAGACCAACAGGTTTAAAAGCCTACTTTACTATCAAATAATGAATGAGGAATGTTTGAGGACTTAATAGACAAAACGGTATGCATAGCTTTGCAGCTCAGCAAGATCGTCAATAGGAGGAAAAGGGATTAGCGATCAAGTGGGACGAAAAATTAGGGATAAAAAAATGAGCAAGCATATTCATTTGTCTTAATGTTTGATTAAATGGCTTCAAAGTTGGGGAAGATAAGATTGAAAAATTCAGAGTTGTTCTTCCAGTCGTTGATTTAATTAGTGCAAAAACGTTTGAATTCTCGAAAGCAATGATAACAAAGGGCACCTTTAATTGGGATCTTGTATTCACGTGGAAATATATTCCCTGGGAGTATTGGGATTTACCGGAAAACAACGTTAAGCCATTTCGGTAAGTGATTTATGCTTCTTACTTTTTTTGATAGTTACCGCATTAATGACATTAGAAGGATTCCGATCTATAATAGTGCACGGGCAGAAATATGAATGTCTTGTTGTTTGCAAAATAATTTTTATTCTCAAAATATGTAAAAAAATGATTATCGCTTTTCTAGACTGAGATGAAGTAAGATGACATTTTCTAAATTTAATAGCATTTGAATCATACTTCTATAACTCATAAAACAAATGAATTTGAAGGAATAGTTTTATGGCAAGATATCCTGATTTTTCTTCGACAAACATCATGATGAATAAAATACCGCGTTTATAAGCAGGATATGTGCTGTACTTGAAAAAGGAACAGTTCTAGACATTTTTGAGAAAATAAAATCTTTTTTTGTTTGCAGGTCAGCGACTATGTCAGGTGGTCTGTTAGCAATTGACCGTAAGTATTTTCATGCAATGGGTGAATATGATACCGGAATGGAGATTTGGGGAGTTGAAAATATCGAAATGTCCATTCGGGTTTGTCGAATTTGAAACATTCGCAAATTTCATTCCATGCGTTATTGCCTATTAGCCATAAAGTATTAAGTGGTTTTTGATAAATTTCACGAGTTTAATATTGCCATCGGGAGTACTTTCTAAACTGCAACACAAGATGAGCCCGATATACATTCGTGCCACCACCTGAACTGAATTATTAACGATAATTATGCTATTGAATTTGTTTGATGCACATTGTAAGGATACTTAATATTAAATGAAAATGATGAAAAATCCTATCTCAAAGCCATGATCGATTCAAAATTTCCGCATTTGCCTCTCGTCATGATTATGTTTTCTTCAGCTGTTCATAGCTGTGCCACTAAAATGTCAGTCCAGACTGTTGTTATAACCTTCTCTGACATGAGAATACCACTTTATACAGACCCAGAAACATTCAGATATGGCTTTGCGGTGGATCTATTTTAGTGGCACCATGCAGCCACGTTGGCCACATATTTCGTACTCATCGCCCATACAAGGGTAAACCAGGTATGGATTCGAAGCTGTACAATTCGGTACGAACAGTTAAAGTTTGGCTCGATGATTATGATGTGAGTCGATGTTTCATTTTTCATTTCTACTAAAAGCGATCGAAACTTTGTTCTTTCAATTCATATTGTTCAAATTGCTTTCTGTTTACCTAAATGAAAGTTATTAAGTTAAATTTTCTTTAATTGTTTCTTACCGCCACGAACAGTACTCCTTAAACTTTCTTCTCGAGTGTTTTTTTTTTTTTTGTTTTCTCTATCAAAACAATACTTTAAATGGGTTAAGACGAAATAAAAATGAAAACATACACTTGTTGAGTTTTCAGCCCGTACTAATTTTTTTTAGAAATACTTCTATGAAAAACAACCAGATGCAAAAGAGATGAAAGTCGGTGATCTCAGTGAACGTTTGAAGCTGAAGAAAAGTCTGAACTGCAAATCATTTCAGTGGTACATACAAGAAGTTGATCCGGAACTCGAGCCTAAAAAGATGTTACATGAAGATCTGTGAATTTCAATTTACTACATTATGTTCAAATCTAAAAAAGAGTTACTATAATTGTATATATTATTTGCTATTATTATTGCTCTTAAGCTGAAATGAATATTCGCTTTAATTTGCGTTGTTGCACTAAAAGATAGGACTAACTGTTGTGGATTCTTTACGAAAAAAAAATCGCAAATCCAAAGTCAGAATGTATCAACTTTCATAGATTTCATATAATGACTGATAATTAGGTGTCTTTGTAACTTCCCTATGTTTAATGTTTGATTAATTAAAATCAAATAGAAGATCTGCCAATATGTTCGCATAGAAACTGATAGACAACAGATCCTCATGCATTCCCTTATTCTCCGGCTAACACTTCCTGATGCGCTTCACGCGAAAATCAGATAGGAAGATGGGGATGTTGTGTTGCACGTCGCAACGTGTTGATCTTGTTGGGCCGCGTCATTTAGTTGGATGTTCATGAGGTCGATGGTATTCAGGTTACGGTGTTGGGTGACATCATTTTGTGCTTCGTGGTGATGTAGAGGGAGGGGGAGGGTTTGGGTTGCTATGGTTCTGTGCGACAGCAGAGGAGTTTGGCCGGATCATGCCTTTTGATTATTAAGAAATAATGAGGAATGATACACTGTGAAGCAGAGACCAAAAACATCAATATTTTATTGCTGAAGGTACACGTAAACTGTATGTAGTTCATTGGTTCTACTTCTTTCTGTTCTACCAAAATAATTATTTTTACATCTTATTAACGTTTCATTTTTTCACATAGTTTTTTCCATTCACGTAGTCACTTAATATTCAGTGATCCTGTATGATGCAGATATTTTGTGTCAAATTCACATTATGATAAGAACAAAGTTGAACCCATAAGATATTTAAAAAAGCAAAAAGAAAACTGCCTACTAATTTACTTTTAACAAACTACTATAAAATAGGAATGCTATCAAAGGTACGTAGTAGAATTTTTGTTGGAATTTTATACTATGAATTTTGTGACGTAGTTTCAAATGCGTTTAGTAGGTATCCTTTTAGTGTCACTATTTTATCCTTTTCTACTCCAATTCATTTCACATTTTCCATTTTTTGCTTTACGATAGCATGAAGCTTTTCCTGTAAATGGTAATAATCTTTTCTTGTGCAAATTTGTTCGGCGGTGAGAGTATTCACTCTTTGGTAGTAATTTTCTTTATATGATTTGTTTCCACTTTGCATTTGTAATGATTCCAAATTGAAAAATGAATTCTACAATCAATGAATAGAAGAGCAATTTTTAATGTTCCATTCGTTTTCGTTCTTAATACTCACAATAATTTTGGAAAGTTTTAGTAATGTACAGTTTTCTGACATATCGGTCATAAGAATATGGTACTTGAAAGATGAAGGAAGAAGGGAAGGACTGTTATACATCTTGAAAGGTATTATTGGCTTCTTATCTTTTAAAGATTAAGAAATATTATCTCATCTTTCTTAAGGAAATTATTTTTTAGTTTGATTCGACTTTAGATAAACTGTTCTAATTAGTTCTTTTTTTATTTTTAATTAATATTATTGAATGATTTCTCTTGAATTTGTGGAATTCAGTTCAAAATCAGATTTATTTGAAAAAAAATTCTGGCTTAGGTTGAATTGGTAAATTGGAATTTCTGGCTTAGGTTGAATTGGTAAATTGGTCAGAAAGAGAAAGTTATTCTGTTGCTCGCAGTATTGTTTAATAAGGTATGTATAAGTCATTTAAAGGTGAAGGCATTTAGAATCATTGAGCTAAACTATGTGGAGATAAAGCAAAAAACATTATAAAAATGACGTGAAGAAGGACATAAGCAATATTGATGAATTGTTTTATGAAAATCTTATCGTACAAATATATAAGTTTTCCCTATCCCGTGTTTCGTTAAATAGTGGTGTATATATATATAATATGTTAGTAGTGGTGCTGAATCTTATTGAACTTTCATTCCTTCTCACCTTTCCCTCACTTTCTTTATTTTCACTTGCATCTCTGTTTTCATCTTTCCAGAGATATTTAATGGCAGGGAAAACGAAATATTTTAAATTATCTGCATGAGTGCTTAATTAGTTGTTTGATTAATTGTTTGTCAATATTTCTTTCCAAAAGAACAGCCTAAACCTTCGCTTTCCTGCTGTCTTTCCTGATACCAAAGTTCAATATATAGTAAGAGAGGTGATGTGTTGTACTACGTCATCGGAATCAACTTTTTCCTATCTTTCTCCGCAAATTATGCTAAGATTATTACAGGAAAAGCATGCATTAAAAGAAGTGAAAACGAAGAAATAAAAGCAATGTCACGCGAGCCATCCATTATGCATAATCCATCAACAAGCGAACCAGAAGCGGTAACTGTTTTCACTTTTGGTTTTGCGACCAATAGGAAGATAGAACATATAAAAATATAATGGAAAGATAAAGTATGTATGATATTAGTAAAAACATAAAAAGTATTGCTTGAAACTCTTTTGATCTAGTCATTGTTTCATGGCACGATGCTTTATTTGCGAAGAATAAGGAGGAATTTCCATTTGCGATCAAAGATAGACAGTCACTAATTGAGATCATTAAATTGTTGATTATAACGAATACATTAACAAGCTGACATCTGCATAATCACTAGAAAAGTATGCGTCATGATATTCTATCTCAGTTGTGAAAAATAATATTGCGGATCGTGAAATCAATGTCCAAATACAGTCCATGTTCTGAAGTTCGTTGTGAATGTGAATTAGCAGTGCTTGATGTATTACGGCTTTAATGAGCATATTAACTACTTTCTGACGAAGAACGTAGTAAAATAACATTTCATATTTAAATACCTGTGTTTTTCCATATTCTGGAAATTTTTCTAAACAATTTAATTTTTTGTTTTAATAGGGGGTTTATTACAAAAGTAGTCTCCAAAAAATAGTGGAATCCGAATAAGTAAACTATATGTCCTCTGTCTGGATAACTGCAGTATTCTCTGTCGGTCTGAACTTGGAAAATATATTTGATTTAAAATATGAAATAACTCATTGTTTTAAAAACCAAACAATTTTGTTGAGTATTTAAATTAGAAATTGAACTTTCTTCCTTTTTTCCCGTTTTTATTGTGTTTTGATTTCCCGATGTGTAATTTTGTTTATTCGTTAAAATATTGTTAGATTTGCATGTTTGTTGTTGTCGAAGCATTTTGGTGTGTTGCATTTTCAGCTGAAAGTCCTCGCAAAAGTGATCTTACAGAACCAATCGAACGATGAAATAATCAGTGATGATGAGGCACGACGACGTCGCGAACAACTCAATCGGCGACCATCATACCGGTTAATTAATTCTTTTTACATGTCTTTTGTTCATGCTTAGAATTGAATTTTAGAATATAATTTTCTCTTGAAACTACACGATATAATTTTTTAGTTTTTTAAAACATGATTTTTGGATAATCGTGAAGTAGATCAACATTATTAACCCTTGATTAGATGATCGTTTACTTCAAAATACAATAGAAGATGTGATATTCTTAAAACAAAGATTCAGAAATAGCTCAAACTAATAACAGTTCGTGAACTAGAGTGTAGTCGCTGTTATTTGGATAAGCAAATATTTCTTCGAAAGAAATAGGCTGTATCATTTCTAGTTTACAAATAAAACACATCGTATATATATATATGAAATCCATTGAGATACAGTATTACTAAGATTGCGTTTGGCGATATTGCTTTCATTCTGTAATATTGTTTTTGACGTACTGAATCTAAAGGATCACTTTAGCGATCCATAAATGCTATACAAAAAGCATTTGACACAATAATATGACGTAACCGTATTTGATGATAAGTGCATTTCCACCGCTACTTCAATTTAGTCGTAATGAAATGAGTCATACTTATTTGTTTTCCTTGATTTGCTTCTAAAATCCAAATTATTTGTTATGGCATCATGCTTTTAACTTTGCCAATAACTTTGCACTTGAAGGAAATGCCCCATTGTTGTACTTAACCAGTAATTTAAGTGAGGTTCTTCACGTAAATCCCGTAGTACGCTGTAGACTTTTCTTCCAAAATATTCGTATAGATGTATTTTATTTAGATCACATGATTGACAATTTGAGCCATATTATCATAAATTTTTGTCTGGTAGAAAATTATTCTACAACTATTTTGATTCTGGAAAAAAGCAAAAAAAAAGAGCGTATTTCAAGCGTTTCATAGAAATTGGAAAATCAGAGGAGAAAATGAGGAGAGAATTCAATCAGTTTGAATTACTCGTTGCTTTATTCTAATTTATTCACTTTTCGTATTTTTATCGTCATTTCTTGAGAAAAAACATAAATCATAAATAATTTCATCACGCTTCTCCATCGTTTCCGATTTAAATAGTTCATCGGAAAGTTTTCTTTTGTTGTAATACACTTTAACAAGAAAATTTTCCTTGAAAAGCTCCGTTGTGCGACTTTTTTATGCTAATAATGAGACTTTCATTAGTATTTACCAGAAAAAAACCGTAATGAAGATGACGAAAAAAATAAATTTGATTCTTTTTTTTGTAGATTTTATTCCAGACCGTATGATATGGGACTAGCAAACGAAAAAAGGTGGTAAAGGATTAAAAATTAAAGGGACGGAAGTTGAAATCGGACTTTCTAGTCAAGAATGATAATCTCCACAATATCGGTTGAATGGTGAAAAACTTAAGGAATGTGCGATTCACAAATTAATACTAAACCATTTCTCCATGACGGTTGCTCTTTGAGAGAGCAGATATTGGAAGTGGAATTTTATCCTCATTTTTTTCCCTTAATTTTTTTGGAAAAATTTGAGAAGGAAGAGAAATTCGTTTCTGGCACATCTTACTAAATATGTCTTAGAAATCCCTTGCTGATTTTAGGTGCCCAACACCTATAGCGGTAACCTATGGCTGAGATACTCGAAGTTGTCACTACAAAGAGGAAAAATTTGTCTAAGTCAAATAACACATTTACGATTTAGAAATTTATTTTCCGTGTTGTGGTTTATTTCATCAAAATATATGTAGTGCAGTAGCCAAAGATGTCATTTATTACAAAAGATTCGAAAAGATTCATTCTTTCACAACCATTGCTTTTTAACTATGAATTCATCTATGTTCCACAAGTTTATGAGCAGGAAACAGGAGCTTACGCAACTGATGTCTGGTCTGTTTATGTGAAAATCAGACAGCAATTTGATAGCGATTTATGAATAAATTGCGAAACAAAGTATTGAATTAATTAGACAGTAAGAAATTAATGAAGTAGAGCAATCAGTAAAATAGGGGCATAAAGCAAGAGATGACATAAGTTAATTAAGAAGCCATTTAGTGATTTTATATTTTTATTTCATCAAATCCACAATCTGTAAACCAATAACAATTCTTTCCAATGTATTTCTACAATCGTGACAGCACTTCCATGTCGTTGCCATTTTGTACCTTATAGATATTAAGCAACGTTTTGAAAACTAAGAAATTTCAATTTTCGTTAATTTTCATGAAAACGCTGCAAACTCTTTTATGGAAATAGAAAATTTTTTAGCGTTTCCTTGAAAATTATTTTTCATTCTACCTCTTTGTCTTTTTCTATTCTTTCAACTATATGAAAGGTTCTATGCAACTGCGGCAAACATCTCTGAATGTTGCTCTATGCGTTATGACATTTTTGAACGCTAAATTCCATTAGGTGTAACTATATCGATATCAAAATCAAATCAGATTGTTATTTGTTTTCGCCGGTTCTAATTAATATGTTTTGATGGGGTGCTAATTCTGGTCTACTAAATGCATTGAGGCAGGTTGCATGTTTTAGTCTATCTTTAGTGTTATCTTTTATGTGTTATGTGAGAGCTATTTCGCGTTGTGTTCTTTCGGTTTAACCTAATGTGGTAAATTGGCCAAGGGAAATCATTCATTTTAAATAACTCACGAAATTAATTGTTGCAGAAAGGAAATTAAATTCGATGAAAAACATTGAAGACTTCCCCAAAAATTCTCGAACATTCTTCCTAAAGCGTCCTTCTTTTTTACGTATTGTGAAAGAAAAAAGCCCATTCGATGATGCAAATTTCTGTCTTGTTTATTCATTAAGGAAATTGTTACCGGGGTAAGGCAGAGAAGAAGGAAAGTCGAGCCAATCGTCTTCTCTTTTCCTTTCTCTCCCATATTCGTCATTTTCTATTGGAAGTGCAAACATGACGTCAATTTCTAGTTGTCGGACAAAGTAGAGGGGAGAAAAAGGTGGAACTTCGGCTAGTAATAATTATGAATATGTATGTGTATATGATGACGATTGCAGAGGCAAACGATTTTACCTTCTATCAAATCCAAATTTCTTTAGCTCTTTTAAAGCCTCTTGATTTGTCCGTTTAGTTGTTATCGTTCTATCATATGTTCGGCATTCTTTCTTACTGATCCAACTTTACTTTTTACCTTTCGAATTTGCATTTTATTATTCCAATATATTGAGGTGTTCGTTTCGTTCCGCTAAAGTGTTCATGCATCATCAGAAGGGTCTAGAATATCCCCATCTTTTGTTCGCTTTTCGATATTTTTTTGCTCTGTTCTTTGTTTTTTTTTGTTATCAGACTTCAGACTCATTGCGATGTGTTTTATAGCTAAAGAAAGCTGTTGAAAGCCTAGCAACAACTTTGACGCACTCTCTTCTGTGTATATTTCAGTGAATGATGGTTGTGAGGACGAGATTGTCCCATCATTCTTTTGATCATTTCCTTACAGAGAGATGACCATTATGTAGTTAATGCTCTCATGAAGTTACGTAAGCTTTTTGCTCTGTTCTCTTTCTCAGTTTCATGCCATGCAATTTTGGATCCAGCTGGAGATAATAATAATAATAATAATAATTGCTCTTACATTTCTTTTTTTCCAAAATGCCACTTAATAATCGAAATTTCTCTTGAGTTTCACTTTCATGTGCTTCTGTCAGTTAGTTCATTTCTCTCTTCAGCTTGTGCTCCGATAGTAGTGAAAAAACGCATTAAAAGTAAAAGGAGAGAGGAAAAGAGAGAGGAAAGGAGCGAGTAATGGTAATGCAGTCAGAGATGTTATTCGATCGTTTCATATTCTCTCTGATAAAGGGCTCATTTCTTTCGGATTTTTTTGTTTTTTCGTACTTTGTACCGTATAAAAGAGCATATATCAATATTAAAAAAATGTATATATATATATATATATATACATATATATGCAGATACATTCATACATACATACATACCTATCAACCTGCCTACAATTTCTCTTGCCGCAAAGAACAGACATTTGCATTGTGGATTTGACGTATGAGAGAGCTTTCAAAGTATTTTTCTTATCCTTCGTTTTCATTCTTACTCCCTTATTGCACTGCTTTGAGCATTGAATTGAACACTTCCTGCCGATGATGCTAGTCAGATTACTTTCACCATCGCTGAAACTGTTTTAATAAGGTTTGAGGAACAATGTGAAGTAGAAGGGTCTATTTATTGCAGTAACCTTTCAAGCAAATTTATAAACTGGTATTGTAATGGCGGCTTTAAAGTCTTTATTTGAGCCGGAGATGGACGAGTTCAAGAATATGAGTATTTATATTTGTGGAAATGAGATATCAGTTGGAATGAATGAGGAAAGGGGAGTAGGAAAGAGAGCATTTCATGAAGATGAACTCTACAGCACTGAACATCTGGCTAAGTCACCATCTTTTATGCACAGCAAAAGATGCATCGCAGCAGACTAAGCAATAGTTGAACTTTTGGTGTCGTACCAATGATTGCAAAGTGTAGGAAATATAGCATGTGAGATTCGGATCTTGTTGAGTACTTGAGCAATATAGCAGTGAAGTCTCAGCTTTCTTTTAGATTGAAGGATAAAGTCAAATCTTTCTACGTTCTCTGTTCTCTATCAGTTATGGATATTAATCACGCTGGGATTGAACATATTCTGATATTTATTACTCTTTCTCTTTCTTCTATTACTGTGTTCTTTCAAAGCAAGATATTTGAAAAACAGCTGTTTTTTATAATAAATTAAATTAACGATCTTAAATCCCGTCATTTTATTTCATTTTTTATTTTTTAGAAACTAGAAAATCATTTCGAAGAATTGTTGCTTATACACTGTTACATAATCTTGTTTATAATCCACTCATTTTCTGTCTTATTCAGTGACTACTATGCATTGTTAAATGAATTTGACACCTGTGTTTCGATATGTTGCAAAACCAATGGATGCATGGTAGGCATGCAAATGAATTTATTCGGCTGATATACAGTTGGATTCGTTTAAATATTAAACCGCTTTATCAAACTGTTGTTGTGAGGTAGCGAAATTTCATAACATTAAATATATAGTAAATTAACCGAATTAAGCCTCATTTTTTTCCAAGTTATTTCAAGTTTTCAACTGTTTTCTTGACATTGCTTTTTTAATAGATTAAGCAACCTGGCGTGAAACTTAAATCATGCACAGTAAGGGATTGTTTTCACTGTTTGTGGGTGTCTATGTATAGGGATATATCAATATATAATATGCAGAGGGAAAAGATATTACTATAGGAGACGAATCACCATTATCATTGTTTCTTCATTTATACCTAAACTCAAATTTTCTTTGGAAATAAAGAAATCGAATTTAAACTTGCAATTTATCACACTATTCTTCGTTTATTGTATTGTATACTTATCGAGGGACTACAATAATGAAGCAAATTCACATAATTATTACTAGCCATCAAACTTTTTTTGGTTTACTGATTAACTACTGTTGCAAGATTTTGTTTTTCATACTGCTGCTGGTTCTTTTAACCAGCAGCAGTATGAAAAACTAGTCAAAATATTGAGAGAAGTGAAAAATGAAACATATTCAGAATTTGCTCGCGAAAGGAGAAGATAGAAAGAAGCCAGAAATTTGAAACTTCCAGGATTAAAGAGGAGGTGATTTTCGTTGTTAATTGCTTATGACTCCCTCCCTTAGTATATATTAATTTATCAGTTAATTAAATATCGAGTCGTTGAACTACCGATAAATGGCCTTGGTATATAGCAAATTATTACCAACAAATAATCCATACTATTTTATCTAGAATTCATTCTACACCATTCGCCTGTCAACCAGTTCACGAAGAGTACATTCTTTTTTGCAGATTTGTTCATTTTTGTGAATATTTTTGCAATTAACAAAGGGTGTATTCTTCATTTGCGCGTGTTTGTGAATTTTTATGCGCATTCCCGGCTCGTTTGTTACAAAATAATTAAAAAATAATTTAGTCACTGTTCTGCACTTTCGAGGAAACCAAGAATTATTCACTGGATTCATTGCTAAAAGCATGCTTATTTCCTGCTACACTTAGTGATTAGGTGGAAGTAACCGTGCTTCTATCGATTCTTTCTTCTGCTTCCTTGATATGTTTTCTTGAACCTTACATTCGACATTTCCACGTGTCTTTCAGATGATGCAACGGGATCCAATTAGCACTCATTTCTTTTTATAATATTATGTAATATTCCATTTCAAGAAATTGTAAGGATGTATTTTTTTAATTTCGCTCTCAAGGAATTTTGAATATTCGTTCCTTTTTTCAATATTTTGTTTAAATATTATCGACATGTTGGGTCGAAAGCGTTGGATGTTTCTTCAAATTAAATTTCTGCAAAATTTTCCTTCTCTTGCAAACACGTTTTACGTTAATTTTTCATCACTTTTTGTAGACGAGTTATAATGAATAATGTTTTGTCTTGACTCAATGATTTGGTAAATGTGATATTAGATATTTGACTTCGATTAAGAGGAAATTTAATTGTTAACTTGAGCAGCGCCGGAAATGGACATAAGTTAGTGGTACTATACTTGGATATATTAATTTTACCTTAGATGAACATTATTTATTATTACGATCGATTAACAGTCTTCCAAAGGGAAATCGGGTTGTTTTTAGGTTTATTTTCAAACCTTTAACAGCATAATTTACAGAATGATTTTAAAAGACTTGGAAACAGTGGATAAGCAACTCAAAAAAGAGCCGGATGAACAGAGTGTTGCATCAGTAGTCATTCAACCACCTGCAGAACCAGGTTTGTAAGCTTGTTTCATTTATGATTTTTTACGCGCAATATTTGTTTAAATTTAGAACACCTAGGAAAGGTTGTATTTGATTCTTTTGGTTGCACTTATTCTGGAACTAAGCAAAGATGACTCAATTTCCCCTTTTGTCAGCATGTATGTAATGTACAAAATCTGAATATTCACATTATTGTGTCATCCAAGAGAGTTTGTCGAAAAGAACTGATATGGTGCTAGCATAGCAAATCAAGGATTTGCCATTGCGGTCATTTTCGAAATATTAGTCCTTACTAGTATATTGATCAAGAGTTTTTTCTTATTCTGATTTTTTTCCTTTCGAATGATTGTTCAGTTTCAACGATATGACTAAAGTTATTGCGTTCTTTCTCCTCAGATCAGTTTGAATTTGTCATTTGCTAAAATCACACGGTATCACACATATGATAGCAATGATAGCAACGAAATTGCACTGATAGATGATTGCAGTGGAGACAGTTCGATCACAGGTGTCTCTAAGACATGATCCCAGTGCTCAGTTATCAGAGCAGCAAGCAATCTCGTCTCGACTTGAGCAAGTTCAATATATTGCACCTTCCGGTATGTTTTTAAAATTTCATCGTTCTTTTTAAGTTCGTTCTCATCAAGATTGAATGTTTTTTAACGTTGTAAGTTTCCTTATCCAGTTACAGTCAAAAGCAGTTCGAGCACATTTTCATTGTTTTGGTACAGTAAAGTTGTTCTCATACGCTATCTAACATACCATGTGTCATGTACTTCAAAGCTGAGGAGATGTTTTCCGTTATGATGGATAAAAGCGATTGATCGATAGCCCTGGTGAATGGGCAAAATAAGTGGAACAGTTTGATAAAATTATGCGCATTCTCCAGTACTCCAAATTGCTTCTCTGGTGCATATACTCATCATTATACGAAGACTTGACACACTGAATGATCAGATTTCGCATGGTGAAGATCGAAATACTTCGAAATGCTCAGCTTGCTTAACTTTAGAAGTTTAGTAAATAGTGAAAATTTGCAGAGTTGACTCGTCTGCATACGACAAACGGCAATCTAACATTAAATTCAGCAGCACTAACCGGCATGCACAATGTTGGAGCAGCAAGTATGATTGGACAGTATTCACCAGTTGCTACGGTTGCAGCAGCGGCTGCAGCTGCAGCTGCTGCGTCACGAGCAAGTACCAGCGCGCCAAAAAACCCACAAGTAAATAGTTAACTATTTGTGGTTGATTTTTTCTATAAATTTAGTAATTTGTTTGTATAAAATTTCTAGTACTTATGTCTCAATGATAAATGGTGAGGAGGTATGGAGGAGTTAAATGGGTAAGTGGGGAGACAAATAATAGGATTGTAGAAGCGGAAATGCAACAGAATTGCTGAAGACCTAATTTTGGTCATAAAATATGGGAACGATTGCACTGATGCCTATGACTGGTCATTACAGGAATTAAGTCAAACGGCAGGATCATCATCGGGACCAGTTCCAGGGATGTTGCCAGTAAATGCCAAAGTTTTGGGCCTCAAAACTATAAGTGCTAATAGTGATGGTCAGCAGCAACAATATGTCGCGCCAAATCAAGGAACAAGTCAAGGCAGCAGTTTTGTTATTACTTAACTCTTTAAAGAATTTAAAGGTTTCTGAATATTAGAGTTATGCTAATCACGAGTTAGAAAATTGCTGCATCAAGCTAACAAAGCGTAAATCTTCTAAGCTTACTTGGGTCGCATTGAAGCTTAACTTAAGCTTTCTTTCTTTCTTAGTTGAATAGCTTTTAAGCAGAGCAGTTCATTTGATGTAGTTTGGGTAAATTTTTCAAATCTGACGTTGGTGAAATAGGATAAAACAAAAAAAACGTACGAAGAACAAGCAAACTGTAGGAAGTGGAAGTAAGATTCATTTTGATATTTAGATGTTTGTGTTTTTAACTTCACAACGAAGCAGAAATATGTGTATATATAATATTATATATATATAAAAATTTGCGAGAGATACTTAAGGTTGTGATGCGCCCACTTTTCAGAACTCCGATTTTAAAAATCTGGTACCAAAACAAAGTTTAAATTGCAGATTGGCAATCTACTGTGATGTCTGGTTACACATCATCCCCATCACCACTTGGTATGGCTGGTGGTAGTCGAACAGCTACTGAAAGTGATGATAGCACAAGAAAGAGACAAGTGCGGCTCTTAAAAAATAGGTAAAACCTTTTTACTTTCAAAGGAGAATTATTAAAAATCGATGGTAAGATTCGATTCTGATAAATTTTCTCCATATTTAATTTGAAAGCTGACCTCAGGTCAGAGAATTCATAATCAAACTCCCTCATCGATGTTATTGGGATAAAACTGTTTGGTTATTTTTGCGTTTTAATAACCATTTCACTAAATGTCAAGTTCAAATATAGATAGGTCTTTCATTAGCGATTTGTTTTTCCGTTTTTCATAATCCAACTTTTTAGTGGTTATCGAACCTCAATCAGCAATCGGTGTTATTTCAATTATTTATAGATTTTTGAATATATTCTACTGTTTTAATACTGGTCAAATTGTTAACATTTACTTCGTTACGTTGGACTGAATTAATCCCTTTCGCTTCAAAGAAGTGTGTCGTAATATTTTTAAGAATAAAAGACACATAATTGCCAGAACTACATTTTCTTTGTTTGTTAAAGAGAAGCAGCGAAAGAATGCAGGCGGAAGAAAAAGGAATATGTGAAATGTTTAGAAAATCGTGTGGCTGTTCTGGAAAATCAAAACAAAGCATTGATTGAAGAACTGAAGACGTTGAAGGAATTGTATTGCAGGAAAGAGAAAAGCGAGTTATAAGTATTTAAAACACGAAGGGAAAGTTTCATTATTCTGTTCCTTGAATTGCTTCCAGTTTTTGCTTACTTCAGGGAATTTTTTACGTCGTTTATAGGCGCGGAATTTTCATATTTAGTTGTAAAAGTTGTTTTTATGAAAGATATTCATAACTGTTCCTGTAGCATACTTCTGAATTGAATGAGGGTGCAAAAGAAAATTATTTATTTTTGTATACGTTTGGTAATCTAAGGGGGTATAGAAATAAAGTAATTTGAACAAAAAATTAAACTTGTAGATGTCCGTACTTCAAAATGAGTAGTATTGCTAGTGATTTTTATAAAATGTTTAATTCAAAAGGAATATATGACATTATTAAATTTTCAGCATGTTTCTCATCGATTCATAACAAATAAGTACAAGAGGAAAAGAAATAGTGGGTGGATAAGTAAGGAAAAAATCCATTTTTCTATCATTATAATAAGGAATATCACTGTAATTTTTTTTTCTATCATTATAATAAGGAATATGGAACTAGATGGTAGTTAATATCAAAAAATTTAATTTAATATCGAAGTAGTGAATAATATTACCTTTTAATATGGCTAAGGTCTTTTTAAACATGATAATTCAGTCATTATGTGTCATGGTTTTTTTTTGATTTCGATTTTTTCCTTCAATTTTTTATGAGACAAATTTTATTTTCTGCGTGCATTGTTTTCCCGGTCATTTGTTATTTGCTTATGATTGTCTTGTAATTTTCTTTCTTGATGTACAATATTTTTTATTGTGTTTAAGAATTGATTTTTCGGATATTATTTGCTTGTACGGCAATGATAATATTCTGATCCATCCACTGTAAATATTTTTGGATAATATTAGGTTAACTGTTTTTAATCATATCCTTATCCGGTTCTATAATATTGCGCATCATTTCCCATATTATTTTTGAATATGATATGATTATAGGAATGGCAATATTCCGTCGCCTCGTGAACTTCATGGTGATATATTTCGGATTTAACGTGGTTTCTTTTAATTCAAGTATTGAAGTTATTTTTCGATGATTGCTAAAATTTTGATTTCGTTTTTTTCTCATTTGATTATTACTTTGGAAGAGAATGTGCAAGATATTGATATCATCGGAAAATAAGGGTATGATAATACAAACCATAACAACAGTGTATAGTGATATGAATCATAACAACTTGACAAAATGAATTGTTGTAAGAAAAGCTTTTTTCATACAAATGCAGGAATGAAGCAGTGTTTGCGAATTTAAATTCATTTTGGAAATGTACATCAACTACTAAAATTTTTATCACTTATTGGCATATGACGGTCTCAAATTGTCCGAATATACATTATAAGTAAAAGAGTTAAGGGTCATTGAGGGGTTAGTTTGACGCTTTTTAAATGCGGGGAAAGCAGGAAGTGTGCTACTGAAATTTGCAGTGATATCTGTAATTTGCATGTTCTTCAATAGCGGCTTTTTGTAAGTGATAATGGAGTGGTAAATGTGAAGTTCTAAAAGAAAAGTAAAGTAACTAAGAGTGTTCATGTTTCTCTTCAGATGAGGAATCAGTCGTTATAAATTATTCATTTATTCCTGTGGAATGTTGAAATTTCCAGTAAACTAAATTGTTTTTCAGTAAATCTGGAATGCTTTTTTTTGTCGGGTAGTTGTCAATTTGATTGTAATAAATGGAATACATAGATGCTGAAATTTTAAAGCTTGCTAGTATGGTTATTATTCTTTTAATTCGCATTTTGATGTAATATTTTGTTAGTTTTCCTTATATCATTGAATTGCTTGCTTTGTAATCTTAAATTCGTGTAGTTGTTAGTTACTGTAGAAGTTATTGTATAAGAAGTAAATATTGCAAACTTTTGTACCATTCCAGAGAGAGGAAAAGGAATAATGCCTTTCGTTAATGGATTGTTGTAGCATTTTTACTGTTGTTGTTATAGCTCCGATAGTTAAAACGAAGTCCATGTAATAATTGAATGAGAGATTTTATAAATTTCGTAAAGTTCAGTTGTGAATTCCTCGCACTCTGACAAAGGCATTGTTTATATTAAGAACGTACGAAGAAATGGAAGATTGGACACATCAAGCTTATTTTTGGTTTTTCAAATTTTATCGTAATTAAAAGACTTATTTTGGTCCCTTCAGTTCACGTGTTTCTAGTACCATTTTTTCGAAATCAAGTACCACGATTCTGGTACATCCAATTAGCAGTGCTTTTATTTTAGTCGTATCTGCTCCCAATTAAATGTCGTCTGATCATTCTATTCTTTTCTTGGTTTTTTCGTTAGCTCTTGCAGGTATTTGTTTAAAACACATTTTCCTTGCATATACGAGATTTTACCATGAAATAAACTTATGGTTCGGCAGATGAGATTTAGTGCATAAGTGACCGCATTATTTCGGTCACAGTGGCGTTTTTCTGTGTACTATATATACATTATCTGAAAAATGAGATTAGATGCCAACAGTTTTCTTTCATAATGTTTTTGAAGCTTCCGAATATTTAAAACAATTATGAGGAATAGTGCAAGATTGACAAAACCCATCCCAAATGCTGTTGTAAAGGCAGGAAATAGATACTAACAAGCTCTTTTATTCGTGGATTCTGAGTGACATCGAGCCTGTAACCTTTCCATTAAAACTGCGGTTTTTGTGCTAGTTCACTGTCGCTTCAGCACAACGTATGTCTTCTAGAAAATTGTCTTTCATATGTGGAAATTTGGATCGAAATAAAGAGTTAAAATTTTCACATTAATTGTCGGTGAGGAGCTGTCGATTACGTCAAGGTGTTGTTTTCAGCTTGATATCACAAATCTTTTTTTTAAATATTCAATTTGAATATATTTGGATAAGGTAGGTTGAATCTTGCGCTGATTTACGAATAATTGTTAATTAAATATAGAAGTTGATGGCAACGTTAGCACAGATTCGGTTTTTTTTGTACTCACCTTTTGGAAGAAGAGTTCCTGTTGATAATTGGTGTGAAGTTTAATGATTTAACGGGAAAGAAATAATATCAGGAGAGACATTCGCCATTCCCACGCTATTCGGTTGTGTGCGAAATGTGCATGAAATATCGTTTAACAATAGCATACTAGATTAAAGCACTTCATTTTGATTGGATTTGGAAAGAAATTTGCCACGCTGCAACTATTCTCGTCAGACAAATCCTCCATCTGATATCACGGTCAACAGGCTTAAGAATTACGCATTGAAAGTCGTTTCTCTCTTTTTGTGATACTTAATGTAACTACATTCCTATAGTTACTCTTCAGTTTTTTGCAGGTAATTCGTTATGACTGATTCAAAATACTTTACGACTACCAAAAAAGGTTAATTTTTATTTCGTTTAATGTGATAAAGCTAATCAAAAAATTTTGTTTTAATGCAGAAGTCGTATCTTTAATATAGTAACATTTCCCTGATGTACTTTTTTTTTTAAATCTTTGATGGTATCGTTATAGGACTCAATAACTATGAAGATAGGTTTGCTGTTTGATTGTTATCAAAATGACGGGAGGGAAAAATTGACCTTAAGAGTTAAAAGTTGATATGTATTGCTTTGTATTGACGTTTTGGATTGGTTTTAAAATGAAAATAGATTTTTGAGCATAATTCCGTCCAACCGCAAAGAAGAGCGTGAGAAGAGGTTGTTGGAAATTATTTGCAGGTGAAATATTTGAACTAAAAAATGAACTGAATTCGGATAAGAAGGAAAAGAAGAGGGAAGCAGTGAAAAAAGTTATTGCAAGCATGACCGTCGGTAAAGATGTCAGGTACCTTTTAGTGAATTTAACAGTTCTTATCTTTTGATAATCTGTTTATCAGGGCTTCCATGTTCATGAATAGTAATGGTCGGGATACGGTTTAGTGCAAGGATTTGGACTATGCACCAGGGACATTTCTTCCTGATTATTTGCGGGACATTTCTAGACTATGCGCTAAGGATTGTTGCGGTTATGGATATTATCTATCAAATCATTTCATGCAGTTCATGTCACATTAGAAGCAAAGTTTTCTTGTAGAATAGTAATGTTTATAAAATTCATACAATATTTCCAAGTCTGTTTTTTCAGCGCACTATTTCCGGATGTGGTGAATTGTATGCAAACAGACAATGTTGAACTGAAAAAGCTAGTTTATCTTTATTTGATGAATTACGCCAAAAGTCAACCAGATCTTGCAATTATGGCGGTTAATACATTCGTAAAAGTTAGCTTTTTTTTCTCACAGCATCTTTAAAATGCAAGATATGTGGACAGATAGTGTGTTTATCACTTACAATATGATTATACCAAAGATTGTCGGACATCATTCCCTCAAAAGCAACTGTTATTGGGCCTTCTTCGATGGTCAATCTTCGGACTGAAATAATGAAACTGCATTAAATATAACAAATTCATTCAGTTCTCAAAATTTCTCTACATATGGGAATTAAAAAGTAACGGATAAAATGATTTAATTAGTTTTCTATAATGTTTGAGTAATTTTTTCAAAAATATTGGAAGAAAAATTTTTAAGGATTGTGAGGATCCAAATCCGCTTATTCGAGCACTAGCTGTACGAACAATGGGTTGCATACGTGTTGACAAAGTGAATTTTTTCGAAAATTTCCATATTAACAAAGATAGCGAGGCAGAAATTGCTAATTTCAAACAAATATTAATTTTCGAATCAGAAAGGACATTTAATTAGAGTAAATTTTGATTCTGATTTTAAATTTTGTTATTAAGAATTTTTGTTAATTCCAAAATCCAGATAACGGAATATTTGTGTGAACCGTTGCGTAAATGTATGAAAGATGAAGATCCGTATGTTCGCAAAACTGCAGCAGTATGCGTAGCAAAATTGCATGATATCAACGCTTCACTTGTAGAAGATCAAGGATTCGTCGATTTACTCAACGACTTACTGAGTGATTCCAACCCTATGGTTAGTTGTTTTTCTTTGTCTTTATAGCTAACATCCTAGAAATATTTATACTGCTTCAATT